GTCTTCATGCTACTCAGATCAAGTTAGGAAACAGTGCGACTTCCGAATATGGTAACCCTTGTATTTTCCGTTTCCTTGAATCGACCTCATGTAAAAATGTCTAGTGTTACCCGGGTTTGTTTGGAGGGTCTCAGCGACAGGAAAGGAAATAGTCACAGTGCAGTAGAGAGGTGGGAGCCAATGATAAATGCATTTTCCAACAGATCAAAGCAGGGAGGCTGCGGGGCAGTGCCATAGGTGCTGGTGTTCATTTGGGGAGGAGAAGAATTATAGCGTGAGTGCTTTTAACTGTGGCTACATTTGCCTCCCCTATTCCACTTTTGAATGGGAGGGCTTCTCAGAAAGAGTGATTGTAAGACCTGCAGTTTGGTCTATGTGTCATGTGTCCGGGGTAGACAACAGGCAGCCTTTTACTACCGATAACAGTTCTGCTTTCAAGTGGCTGAGGAATTCCGAGAGCTGCATCGTCGGATGTTTTTGTTTCATTTTAACTTGGCCAGTCCCCCAAATTGGGGACAGTGTAAAGTGGAAGGAGGGAGGGCTGAGAGAAATTGAAGGGGTTGCCTCTATTGTCAATGAGAAGATAACTAGTAGCCTCCCCAGTGGAACGTATGCCAAGCAGTAATGACTTAGCACTGCTTGAGCCAGCAAATGCCAGCCATGAACTTGGGAGTAAATATTTGTAATCAGATCTTCATTAGCCACAGAGAAAAATAGGGTGAGAGCAGCCTGACTTTAAGTGAAATCTCAGAGCTAGAAATTCGGAGAAGCTGTTTTTCCATGCCGTCCAGAGCACGAATTATGCCCAGGTCTTTAAGCATAGATGGTGAGGAGTTCCAATATTATTTGAGTGTGGAGTTTCAGGGTCAGCGTGCTATAATTTCATATCTGTGACATGCATCTCAGGGATAACATATTTCTTCTACGTTCTTTCATGAATACATATGACACTTTGTTTTTAACGGCCTATGCTGTAAATCCTTTAACTTGCATTTATGCAGAAGACCTCCTGAATTTTTTCTGCTTCTCCTCCTTCTGGGGCGTATGTTAGAAGTGCTGAGTTACAGCTCCTTTCTACTTTAGAAGAATCGACAAAAGCACACCTGAAGGATTTTTAGTCTTTCCTGCTTCCCAAGTAAAAGCGAGACAAGGGGAGATATCGATGTCAACTCCACAAACATTAAGTCTCTCACAGTTAGTGCTTTTGTTGCACTAATTTGGACATCAAGGGCCAGTCCAGTACGTTTGAAAAGATTTGAAAATTTGTTATTTAAAATTAATGTAGAATTTATAAGTGATTTTTCTCTTGCATGTCTTAGATACACTTAATATTGGGCATTTCAGTGAAAGTACACAAGATGATCATGACTCTCTTATTCTGTATGTGGGCGCTCTAATCTAGTTTTAAAATTTTTAGGTGAATTCTTATGAAATTACTCAGGTTCTCACACTGCCCTCCCCATTCAGCATTTTTTGTTTTTTAGACAAAGGACCCAAACTTTTACATCAACAGAGTGAAAAGTTTACATTTACTTTCATATATTTTGTGAGAAAGGAAAAAAAAAAAGCTCTACTTCTATTTATGTACAGGAGAGCTAAAGGAAGTGGTTCCAATTTCGTTAGGTAAAGATGTTTTTAACTCCAAGCAGTCCGATAGTTTTACGTATAAAGACAGAAACAACCTTTGCAAAAAGTATTAGACTCACTGCTTCAAATCCAAACTGCTTTCCACTGTTATTCACAAAAGGCAGCACATTACTTATAGAGATGAATTGAAAATTAAAACTAACATATGTACAGGTATGGGCTTCACAAATAAGAAAACTATAACAAAGAGACCTGTCTGTCAAGACATCCTGAGCCTGAAAGCCAGTGACTCCGCCTCATTCATGCAAACAGATGTATTGGGAGAACCTCTGGACTTTCATCTTCCTTAAACAGCCAGTGTTTGATCCAAAATCAGACCAGAGAACACACGGAGCTCTTCTCTGTGCCTTCTGATTTTCTCTTTTGCCCAGAATCAGTAAATTAATAGAGAGAGATATTTATTTCTATACTAAATCTATCTCTTTTCTATAACTAGCTAGCTGGGCAGCTAATCCACAATAGGTTAGTCCTCATTTGTTTCATGCGTAGAATTTGCCTTTTTAAAGACTCTCATTACAATAGCAGAAAATTGTTATTATGTTGGGTCAGGTAAAACAGAAATGGAGCAGCCGTGGCCCAGCTGCTCTTCCTGGATTTCCTTTATTGTCGAATGTTCCCAGGAAAAGCAGTTTACCTTAAAATATATCTATTGTCATTAAAATCCATGTGTGGGAAGAGAACATTGATCAAAATTCAGTGTTTTTATTTTAAATATATATGTTTTGGCTTAGAAAGACTGTGAAAAATCAAAGTTTAGAAAGTATAAAGGGAAGGTAAAAATACCAATATACCAATAACTTTGTGTTGTTGTTTTTAAAAAGTTAAGTAAAAATTACAGCTGGAATTATCTCTCCAACAGTTCTGAAAAGACATCTATCTCCTCCTGAAGGCTGACAAATGACATCCTTTATTAATAGCTCATTGGTTAGTTTATTAAAACTTTACATGATTGAAAAGCATGCTTTTGATCTTAAAATCTATGTTAGCAAGATTCACCTTCTTGTGTTTCTCCTTATCTCTCTATTTTAAATGAAAAATTGCAGACTCCAACCGATGCAATTTGTTTGCATATAAATCCAAACTCTCAGCTTCGTAATGTACCCCAAATGAACAAAGTTCATACCAAAATAATGGGAACCTCCTCTGGCCTATTAAAAATATATATATATTTGGTCCCAGCTTCATCTCCTCAAGGTCCTACCTGACTCCATTTAGATTTAAATAGATCCTGCTTTACTTGTACACTTTATTTGCATAGGGCTATCTATAGCCATGCTGGTTCCTGTGGCAGAGGAAACAGTCCCTCTTCAAAATCGTTACATAAGAATGGCTATAAAAACGAGTTTGATAAACCCCAAACATGTCTAACTGGCATTTAAATTACATTAACACCTACACGTGCAGACACAGTGAAAGGTCATAGCAGACAAGTACCATCTTCACTATTTGTAAATGTCTAATTTGCTGCTTGAGATGGGGAAGTCCCTCAGTGCCGCAGTGACTGTAGTGTTGCAAATACTTCTGACAAGCGAGTATTTACTTAGTTAGGACCCATTGTTGTAAAATGGACTGAGAGGGAGGCGCCTCGGAGGGCGTTTTCACTGCCTCCTCCTCTCTTGCTATTTTAGATTCTGGGAGAGGAAACACTTGGGACTTTTCACTCTTCTTGTCATTTGTTTTTTAAGACGGGGAGTGTCCTCTCGAGCAGTTTTTACTTGAAGTTTATAAAAATTAGGTTTGGAATCACCTAAGAATTCACGGTAAATAAAGGAAATACACAATATTACTTAATTCTTGCAAGGAGAAAAAAGCGATGAGCATTTGTTTTCACCCCGACTTGACTAGGCTAGAATTTCAGAGGTTTGCAGTCCCAGCTATCTGAAATAAATTTATATATTGTTAAAATAATGATACAGTTTGGATAAAGTAGACAAATTAATTACGGATACTTCAAAATAATAAAAAAGTCCTTGTGAGATTATCATGAAATCTGCTATGGATGATTATTTATAAATATAACAGAAGCAGTTAGTCCATATGATTAAAACGTCAACTTTAATTATAAATTAAAGAGCAACTATCTGAGATAAAGGGATATAGGCAGGAGTCTATAAGGGGCTCCCAATGAAATTCTATATACTACGTAGGTGCGTAAAAGCCAAAAGCTATACACACAATCAATGCTTTATTAAATATTTATTGAATTAATGAAGAAACATTAGACAACTTTTATTTATTTATTTTTGAGACAAAGCCTCAAGCTGAGCCCTTGGGTAGAGTGCCGTGGCTTCACTGCTCACAGCAACCTCCAACTCCTGGGCTCAAGCGAGTCTCCTGCCTTAGCCTCCCAAGTAGCTGGGACCACAGGCGCCCGCCACAACGCCAGGCTATTTTTTTGGTTGCAGCCATTATTGTTGTTTGGCGGGCCTGGTCTGGATTCGAGCCCACCACCTTAGGTGTACGTGGCTGGCGCCTTAGCCACTTGAGCCACAGGCGCAGAGCCACATTAGACAACTTTTAAATTTATGTGTTGATATATAATTTTTTTTGACAGGGAGGGATCTAATTTCCAGAGTGGTCTCTTCATTCCCAACCTCCCATCTATTTGAAAGTGAGTCAGGAAGCTGTTGAGGAATTTTCTATTCTCATTCAGCACATGTTACTAAACCTGCTCTGTAGGCACCTGTTGGGGGTGCTGGAGACCCAGCAGGGAACTAAGCAAGGGGCTTCTCCACCACAAGCTCAGGAGGCATGGAAACCACTATACAAAGGATACAGGTTCAACTGGCAGGGACATCCACACCGTACTTCAGCAGTCATGCTCAGGGCTGTGTCTCTCACTCCTATGCATACCTCCATCTTCACTTGTGTATCTTACAGCTGTCCTGAGAGGCGGCACAGTACCAAGGACAATGGTAGTGGGGAACAGAAAGGAGTGTGTGCATTTGAGAATGATTCAGGAAGCGTGAAAGAGACAACTTGGTGGCAGATCAATGAAGAACTAAGGGTGAAATGGCAGGTGGATGGAGGCGCTTAAGGAAGTATGTACTAGAGCTGTGGGTTTTGACAGTGGGGTTGGGAAAATAAGCTCACTTTTCAACATTTTAGGCCATCCATAGAGAAGTTACTCGAGGAGGAAATATGGCAGGAAAGGGAGAAAAGACCCAACTAGTGAACAAAATTCTATATTATGCCAGAGTTTCAGTTTGGTCTGATAAGATAACAGAAGCCAGGAAAGCATTTTGATCAACAGGTGGCATAGTTAGAATTCATGTTTTAGAGACTGCTAGTGTAGAAGAAGTAGATACCAAATATAAGGGTTTGATTAGGAGGCTATTAAAATCTCCTCTCTGGTTCTTGATTTGGCAGCACAGCTACTAAAATTTGAACAATCCAGAGAAGTTAGCATGGTCTCTGTGCAAGGATGACACGCAAATTTTGAAGCATTCCGTATTTTTTAACTAAAAAGTAATAATAATAAAGTTGCCCTCCCTCCAAAAGATGGTGAAGGCCTGACCAAAACTGTGGAGGGAACAGAAGAAAGTGGTGGACACAGGTAGGAGGATGCGGCGTGTGACCAAGCACCAGGCTTTCCTCTGCCGCGTGTGGACGCTTTCAGGATGGTCCAGTGTACTGTTTCTGCACTATAAAATCTTAGATGACAGGGGTTCTATGTCAGTATTATTTTGCATGTCCCAATGAGACTAAGTGTAGCATTTCATTTATAATAGAAGCTCCAAATAAATATCAGTTGATTTGAATTTCATTACAATGGAATCATTGGACACCTGATGATTTAGAGCCAGGACCAACTGTTAGCAACATCTTTCCTGTGTTGATAGATGAGAGAGTGGAAACCACAGAAGCTGGGTCATTCCTCAGAGTCCCAGTTCCCTGGAGGCAGAGGTGGCCCTCAATTGTGGTCTGCTGCCTCCCAGGCCAGTGACTGGGCTTTAGGTGCTCACCTTACCCAGATAGCCTTGTGCTTCATGAACGTAGTTCTCAGTATGTCACTCTGAGTCCCAAAATGTTGGAACTGGGATAGTCTTCAGACATGTCTAGTGTACATTTCACATTTGACAGATAAGGAAGTAAACTAGGTCTGTATTAGTTTGCTAGCGCTGCTATAACAAAATGCCACCAACTGGGTGGCTGGAACAACCGAAATTTATTGGCTCATAGTTCTGGAAGATAAAAGTCCAAGCTCAGGTGTCAGCAGCTTTGATTCCGTCAGAGGACCCTGAGAAAGAACCTGTTCACTCCTGTCTCCCAGCTCTCCTGGCCTTCCTGGCTCTCCTGGCCTTCCTGGCCTTCCTGGCCTTCCTAGCTTCTGGGAGCCTCAGGTGTCCCCTGAGTTGTAGACAGCCTTCTTTCTGTGTCTTCACATCATCTTCCCTCTATTCATGTCTATCTCTGTGTCCAGGTTTCCCCCTTTTATGAAGATATAGCCAGCTCAGGGCCCACTTTACTAATCTCAACTTGATAGTCTGCAAAGGCCTATTTCCAAATAAGGTCACATTCACAGGTCCTGGAGGTGAGGACCCCAACATATTTTGGGGGGGATACAATGCAACTCAAAACCAAGTTACTACCATTGGTTGAGTCTGGTCTCTAGATCTCAAGGTCACTGTTTCCCACACTGGCCTCTTCCCTCAGATATCACTTTAAGAAGAAAAACTCTATCTTTTGGGTATTTGACACTAAATATTTTCTGCAGGCTCTTTAAAAGCCTGTGGGAATGTCTGTCAGACTTACAGATCTCCAAAGTTCAAGATAGAGTCCTTATGTGTCTATTTTGGAGGCTTGATTTTTAAATTAAACATTTGACCAAATTGGAGGCAGACTCCTTGGGAGATCCTTGAAGAGGACAGTGCCCGCTCAGCTGATGCCCAGGCTGGGCCGGCTGTCCTGGGACTTCCCTGTAACACCCTCTGGTATTTCTTGCCCTGGTCCTACCAGCGATCGTGTAGAGCTAATCAGATTCAAGTTCCAATTCTTCTTCTTTCAAATCAGAAATGTGGCTCCAAAACAATGCCTTTCCCTCCTCGATAACCTTCTAACCCCAACGTGAGACTGAAAATGCCATTAAAAAAAATGTTTTTTACATTTTTACATTGTATGTCAGTGCCTTCCTTTTTTCCTGATGGTCAAACAAATTTCAGTCACATCAAAAAGGAGAACTTTACAGGCAGAACTTATTTTCAACTGGTAAAAAATAAAAGGTGTAGGAAAAACAAAGCCATTAGAGTTCCCTCTCCAGGGCAGCTCGGCCCGTCCTGTCTCTGTGGCCCCGACGGTTTTTCTTTCTTCTTGGCTCAGATGAAAAGACAGAACTAAAGTTGAGGTCAGGGAAGAGGGAGCTTGGGAAAAGCTAAGGGAATTACTTTAGATCTTCTTGAGTCACTCAGAAGTGATAGGTAAGTGAGGGTAAGTGCAGACTTCCCAAGGAGAGCCACACGCTCCATGTAACTCGGCTATACATTCTTATTAGACATCCATCCGCCCTGTCTCTACCTCCTTTTCAAAGTAGGTTGCCAGTTGTTAAACACCCACACACTCACAGGAAAACAAAACCCAAAAACTCTTGTCATCGTTTCGAGGCTTGCTTACGTTACCACTTGAAATATTTTTTCTTAGCAGCTGTTGTACCTTTAATTTTTCTAGCATGCTGGCCTGGGAAACAAGAAATAATCACGACAGGGAGCCATTTCCCAGAGCATTTCACTGGGGCATGTTTTCACTTTCTGTGCCCCTGAGTAGACCGCTGGTAATCCCATTTGTCTATAGAACCACTGGTGGTCAGCGGTTAATTAGACCTGTAAACTCAGTGAATAGTGGCGGCTCTGCCTTGGACTGCGGTTCTGTTCTCCCGCCTTTAGCTTAGCGCAACTACCAAAATCAGCTTCTCAGATTAGAATAATAGAAGGTGGTCAATTTCGCCCCACAGACATACGCAGATATAAAGTAATATTCAAATCTGAGTCTGCTTTTCCATTTGGGGGAATTGGAGTGTATCCTGTGAAATCACTATTTTAAACTGATGTTTCCCATAACATCTCTATGAAATCTATTTGACATAAAAAATAAAAAACAGAAGTAAAGAAATAGCTTTCTCATGGAATTAACAAAAGTTGGAACAGATGATTAAGTGAGCAATCCAGAAAGCTATTCCCCATTTTTGTCACTTATTCTTACATTTTACCAATGCCAATTGTGATTGAGTCTAAATTATGGAAATCTGGATTATGATAAGCGTAAAAGAGTAAAGAGTCAAAGAATAGAGGTGTTATATCTAATGCTTAAGTGTAAATAAAATCTACATTATCAACCCTTTTAAAGAAACTTTTTAAATGTAAGGTTTTCTGATAGCACCGTGTGGATGTTCCAACTTTCACTTCAGCAGTTAACCCTCTGTAGCTGCTCAATTCAAGCTCCTGCTGAGTTCTAGTCTATGCAAAAAAAAATACACACACACACACACACATGCATATCTATGGCCTCCTAAAAGACCCTAAGTTGTGTGTTTTGTGAATCATAGAACAAGTGATATATTTGCCCATATGTGAAAACAGCAACATGTCTCTAAAATACAAAGTTACTTTATCTCTAACAAGGGTTATGCATCTGTGCATCTGTTGGTAGCTAAGACCAAATCTTAGCGCCATGGTGATTCTTTTGTCCCCTGGGTCCTATAAACAATAGGTTTATTTGGATGGGAGAAGAGGGTACCTTCCTTTCGCTACGTTGCTTAATCAGCTTCTCCAATGTTAAGATCTTTGTTTGTGATCTTAGTGAGTCCTTTTGACATAATTACCATTCTAGCATGATATGCTATTTGTTGGAAAAGTGTCAATTTGGGGGGCAACAGAAAAATTACAGTTCGAAAACTATGAGCAGGCAAATCAATGCCATGATTAACTGATATTAACAGACACCCCGAGGATTTAAATTGCCTTTTCTCTGTTTCAAGAAAGCAGCCGAGAAGAAAATGCCTCGCAGGGGTTAAACCCCAATGCCTGTGCTGCAGCCTATTTCTGTCAACACTCTGTTCAGGAAATAAACATTTATGCTTTCTGAAATGAAAGTGTATTTTTGAAGACTAGCCGTCAGATATTTTTTGCCCTTCACACTTTCCAATGCTTAGCCTTTTTTGTAAGTTGACTGCAAAGTGCATCAGTTTGCCAGACTAAAATAAAAAAAGCGCTTGACGAGTGCCCGTGGCACCACTGTCAGCCTCCGAAGTTTCCAGCAGAAGAAGGCAAGAGGGTTGGTACCAAGCACGCTTTCTTCAAGCCCATTACCTCAGGGGTACCTGCCTCCTGAGAAGCTTTTCAATCCCTCCGAATGATGTTCTTCCCAACTGTCATCTGGTTTATTTGGAGCACGCTGGATTGCAGATAAACATGCTATTTAACTGCAGGTCAAGGTAGAGAGTCATTCTGCCAGCAGAATGCCTGAGATACATTAATGGCACTGAGGGATGAACAGAGATCAGAGTTGTCAGAGATATGCATGGAAGAGACATAGTAGGGGAAGAAAAAATGTCTCATGGCGTCAGTATATTTTTAAAAAGGTGTAATATGGCCAAACATTTAAAACTATGACCTGTCATGCACCAAAGATTAAGCTCCCAGGATGAACAAAACAGGGAGTTCCAGCACCACGACAGGGAAGTGTCTCTTATTTCCCTTGGGAGAGGGGCTTCTCTGCAGAGAGAGCTGAATGTTACAGACGATGAGGGCCTCTCACTTGCCTCCCCATAGCTATAAAACACCATCATTAAGTGCCTGGTAAAAGCACAAACTAGTAATAGTAATTGGGACAAAAGGCCATGTGAGCCAATAGAGCCATCATGTTTTTGGAAAATTCCTTAGAGTCAGTCTATTAAAACATGCATTTGCATTTAAGGCCTTAGTCATTCTGCTCAGTTCTATTTGATAAAAAAAAATTTGTTTTATCCATGTGTTTTTATGTATGTGCAATATACTAGTACTCCTAAAGGACAGATGGAATAATTCTATGGAATGAAGGCAAAACCTCTATTCTGTATCAATATTTGGCCCCCTTGGTGACCAGAGGAGCATGACTACCTCCTGACAAGGCTCTCGAACTACCACTTAAGTGTTTGGGCAGGAGAGCTCTTTGTGCCAGCCCCCAGAGTGCAGAAGTGTGGCCGTAAAGGGTTAAAATAAGAGACTGTTGTCTCTGGACAAGAAGAAATTCAAATCCAGAGTTTAATTTTATTTTATAAAGCATGGTTTGTCCTTTCTCCTACGGATTTCCAAAAATTGCATTAGTCAGCTGAAATAAACTTACAGATATCAAGCACGCAAACCTCTTGTGTTACATCCGTCTCCCCCTGCTCCCTGACCAAAAAGAGAAAAAGAACCTTTCCTTTACTTTTTTTTTTCCTTCTCTTTATTTCATAGAAAAACAAAAGGAAAGTTAGGTTTGCAGGAAAGATAAGCGCACACACACACACAACCATCAACACGGAGGAAACAACTGACAGGATCAACCTGAAAAAATGAAATTTTATTGCTTTTTGCTTAATTAAACCCCAAAGAAATGTGTGAAACATTGTTATGGCTGAAGCATTGTTAATTTGTAAATCACAGGGACAAAGGGGCCCTGGTGCAACTTTAAAGTTTCCGTGCACGTAAATGTCGATAGCGTGCCTTCTCCATCATCAGCACTAAATTCACATTGATGCCTCTTTTCTTCTCTGTATTGATCCTTCCATGAGAACGTAGATTTGTATCTGTTAATTAATGCGTCCTGAAACAGCGTTTGTATTAATCAGGCAGATAAGAAAAATTGGATGCCTGCACCCCCCTGACAACCGTAAAAGTGCTGGCCCTGATAAAATCGTGGATGGACCTCAATAAAAAAGTTCCTCCTTCCACTCAATAAACTAATCATCCTGCTTTTAATTATTCGGCAGAAAGATGTGTGGAGATTGGAGAATGTGTAAATCTATTTACTAACAGCAGTGTCTGGGAGGGGGAATAGGGCTGTCACAGGAAGGCGCTGCGGGCTACACGCTCTGTCCATCTGCTGCTTGGGAGGATGAAAAGAGCAGGAAAACTAAGGCAGATTGGAAAGACCCATTTCTTTTTCTTCATAACTTTCCAGGTGACCATTTACTTTTCGGGGGAAGGCATCTGTTTAATTTACAAAAGAAATTCCTACTTGGTCTTTTTTCTTGAGGTAGCTATTCGGATTAGCATTACACCTTTTTACTTGAGAGAGAGATTAAAAAAAAAAAAGCAATATGGCTTTTGTGTGTTTTTTGTGAGTCTAATACTGCCTTTTCAAAAGCACCTGATTCTAAACCCACTCAAATAACTATTTTTCTATTTTGAATCTCTGTTTAAATTATCACCAGCCATTATATCTCTAATTCTAAGAGGATATGTATTAACTGAACCCCAAATTGCAATGACAAAAGAAGAAAAGGATAAACATTTTAAAAAAGACTTGCATAGCTGGAACAAAAGAAATACTATCAAATTACACATAAGCACCTTCATAAACAATAAAAAGAAATGCTTTATACACGTGCCTTAAAGACTCCCCTAAGAAAAGCTTGGCTAATCCCTTTTGATGATTTTATTAAGCACATCTAGTTCATGGTACCAAATGGAAAACTACTAGTTTCATTAATAAGTCAGGAGATTATTTTCTTTTCTTTGCTGTGCTGTAGTTTCTAATATCATATAGGACACAGAAAATTTGATATGAGTAGAAAGGACAGCAACAATGTCCATAAGCAACAGCCTAAAAAGATTGGGCATCAGTGGGTATTCATGATGTGAGTAATAAGGTCTAACAGGGAATAAAAATAGATTTCCTAAGTCGTCGCATTGAGAATGATCCTCCCTTCTATGGAATTACTGGTGGTAGGATCTTAAATCATGCCTGGTGCCATTGTCTTCACGGTCACCTTTGGAATCCTGGGCATAGCCTTGGAAATGCGAGTGAAGTTTTAAGAAACAATTCTTTTTTAGGACTCTTGGAAAAACCATCTGATCATGAGGTGTCTTCACTAAGACTTCCTTTTAGAACATAGATCTTGTCCCGCTGAGATATAAATATAAATATGAATATATATGTATATATCTTTATTCCTGAGTAGGTTTAATTATACTGCTTCATCTTTTCCTGTTGAACAACATTTACTTTATAATATTTTTGCATATGTTTTCTCAAGCTTAGAGGGCATTAAAATGTGCAGGTATGAAGGTAGCCCAGGTGTGCACTCAAGAATTGAAGTGGTCAACCAGATAATTCAGCTAAAAATAATATATAATGACACTTTTTGCATGCACGTTATGAGTCAGTGTTTATCTACATGTTATTTTATATTTCCCACATGCAAGATGTTAAAGTGCAAGTTCATTGTCTTGCTCAAGGTGAAATAGCCGGTAGCTAAGGGGAGCCAATATTTACATTCAGAATCTGGGTTGGGTCATGTCCTTTCTACCAAACCCCATTATCTGTATACTTAACTTTTAACTTCATCTTAATAACAAGAACTAATTGTGGCTTTTCTATTGAAGAAGAGGCCAGGCTGCTAACTACTTTACTTTCCTCTATACTAGTAATCACCATTTTTAACAAGAAATTCATGTTAAACTTCAGTGAAGGCAAAACATCCCAGGACACTCATCTGGTGTGACTCCTGGTCCACTGTGCTGTGGCTGTTATAGGGAAATGTTCCCAAGTTGTACTGTACTCTGTGTTTCCTTTTGTTTTATTTTTGACTTCTTTTTCTTATATATTCTCTTTATGTTTATCAATAGTAGTTTTTAGAGATGACACAGTTGAAACATCTGATATTCCTATGGCTTTCAGCCAGAAATCAAGAGTTCTTAAAGATTATATGATCTTTCTTTTCAAATAAAAGAAAGAAAATGATTTCTCTGTTAAATTCCCTTTAACGTTGTCTATAAAACCTATAGAAAACACCAACAAATGGAAGAAGCTAGTTTGTGACTTTCACTTTGCGATCCACAAAGTGATCGGGGGAAAATTTAAAAGCTTCTAATCAAAGCTCAGCGTAATTTTGAGCACTGATGCAGAAGCCAGCTAACTAATGTTGCATTATGAAATTATGGCTTTGAAGTAACTTGATCTGCCCGTCTTTCCATGCAGGCTTCTCCACGCTGTCCCTGGCGGACCAGATGAGCCTTCTGCAGAGTGCTTGGATGGAAATTTTGATCCTTGGTGTCGTTTACCGATCTCTTTCGTTTGAGGATGAACTTGTCTATGCAGACGATTATATAATGGACGAAGACCAGTCCAAATTAGCAGGCCTCCTGGATCTCAATAATGCTATCCTTCAGCTGGTAAAGAAATACAAGAGCATGAAGCTGGAGAAAGAAGAATTTGTCACCCTCAAAGCTATCGCTCTTGCTAATTCAGGTTGGCATATCAACATGGTCGTTGTTACATTTTTTTAATACGTCGATTTTATCCCTCCCCTTAACTGCATCAGAAATTTGCCAGACTGAGTTTGTAAAGTCTGTCTGAGTCTGCAGAATTAAAATCCATGTAGCTGGTTGCTAGTGAAAAGTTAGAACTCAGAAAAATACACTGATGGGAGTTATTTTCATTTTACTTGCTTCCTGAAAGCTGTGAAACTTTCACCTTAAACTATTGCATTTACTATAGTAAATAATAATAAATAAAACTAATGCATTTACTAATTTGGATCATAGCAAAGCAAAAGCTCTTATAGGAATAGCATACAGGGATACTCTCAGGACAAAATTAGCTCCATGGTATTTTATCTATAAGTCAAAATAAAGGAATTATGGATACACACAAATCACTCTCCCCCTCAAAAATGCAAATTTTACGATTGACAAAATAAATTTAGCGTTGCTTTTAATTTTGGTTATCAAAAAATACTCTCTTTTCTTACATCCCGGCATTCCCTAAAAGTCATCTTCTGCTGAAGGAGTATTTCCTTCAAAGATACCACCTATGCAGTAAGGGTTAAGAATTATGGGAATAAACGTTCTTTACATTTGAACTGAAATGTGCTAAAATAGAGAGCAACTTCTGATAAGTAAAAATCGTTGGCGCTTTGTTGTTTTTCCCTTTGTGCCTCTCCTAATGCTTTATTATGGTCTTAAGTCTCTTTTAGCATTTGCATAAAGTTCAGGATAGATCCCTCCTTAATGACGTGCCGATCATTAGATACCTGTGTGTCAATAACAGGCTCTGATGCTATGTACCATTGACAGTCACACCGTGCCCCTCCATCTGCTTTTGTTTTGACCCTATCTTTGAACTTTATCTTGGTTGCCGGCCAGTAGTTTTCCCTTTAATTACAAGAAGGAAACTGTCAATAAAATCTGTTAAATGGGATGCAATGAGTGGCTTGAATGGGCGGACGGCTATTTGTTCAAATTCTGCAGCATTCAAGGTATTGACAGTTTGTTTTCTGGGGCCATATGTGACGATCAATCTCAGGCTGGGCTCAGCCGCGCTGAAAAATGAAAAACCAGATTGCTTTTGCTTACTTGTGGATGACGACTTTGTGATTTGGCGCGGTCCTAGTGAGATGAGACCTTCTGCCCAAATTGCCCCCATGAGAGCCAGGGACGCGTGACTGTTTTTAGAAATAATTTTTAATTGATTTTGTAATTAACAGTTCATCTACAATATTGATGCGTGAATCCTTGGACTGATAGGAGGGAAATTGTTTTCAACAATGAAGTTGTACTTTCCTATTTGTCTTCATAATGGAGTTGAGCATTTCACAGTTTTAATTGTGAATATAACCTCCTCCTTACCACACCGGTCACCCCTGTTCACCCACTCTCCTGTGAAACTGTAAAATATGATTCCTTATGACAAATGGTTTTGTTGTTAGAAACCCTCCAGAACCCCTGGCCCTGCTCTCTAGAAGATCAAAGTGAGAGATGGGACAGAAATTCTCTGAGGATTTATTAGTTTGTATGGACTTTACATTATAGGATCTCTCATAATGAGAAAAAAGATTTTATAGTAACGGCTTGGGGAAGAATTTTTATTTGGTTTGCACGAAATGATTCCAATTTAAAGCATGTACTTTGTTATATTTTTTTGTAGCAAAGTAAATGATTCCAATTTAAAACATTTACTTTGTTATATTTTTTAAATACACAAAGCATGTTTTATTTTTATATCTTTTATGTTTCAAATTGCTTTTTAAAATGACTAATCATGAATGCTGAACAGTGCTAAAATTATATCATCAAAATTGCTAAAATTTTATAATTTTAGATGTTAGATGAACACTTTATAGCTGAGCATTATAATTTAGAATACCTAAGTTAATTAGTAGCAGCATGCCTCTCTCTGTCGCTTAGAAGTATAACCATTAATATATATATATTGATATATAACTGTTATAATCCCACACACTCTGCTCTTTGGGGAAAGAACTGACCTACTTTACAGCGCTGACTTAGGATTGGAAACACTTTATTTAAAGAAGTAGTTAGTTTATTATTCTCATCTAAAGTCCAAAATTGTTAACAAAGCCCCCTTTTTAATTATATCATAGTAGTTGAGTATATCGTTGAGAAGTATTTCTTCTCAGAAAATGTCTCTATGTCACAAAATTTCCTCACTGGTGATTCTGACATTGATTCAGCCTCTCAATACAAAGAAAAATCAACTTAATTAGAGCCCGTATTAAAGAAGAAATGATTAAATACAGTAAGGACTGTTTCAATGTGTGAATCATGCCGCCTCTCCTGTATTTAATATGGCCTTTTTCTCACCCACACCCCTTGCAAGCCCCATAATTCTAGTTTAGGTTAAGCACCCACAAAGTAATTTTCTTAGATACTGTCAGTATGATGCTATCTTATTTCATTTTTTGATCATTATTTGGAGAACAGGAATAAATTTGTAGAGTCATTCTTACTTTAGATCCAATGTAAGTTTCTTAAACTGCTCATAAACGTTATCAATATGAAAATAATTTAATACTTTCCATAGATACCCTAAAAATCTCCCAGGTTTTTTGTTTATTTATTTTTATCCTTTTTTTAGTATTTAGGAATCTTAGGTTAACATAAGTGACTTTGTGCAAAGAAAACTCTATTTTAGTGTTAGTTATGTAGATATTTTGGCTTTCCCTGTAGGTGTTAACAACCATTGTCTCATTTGTCTAAATTTCAGTTTATTTTAAACATCTGCCTTTATTCAATAATTACGAATGTTGTGCTTATGTTTGGGAAACAGGCAATTGGCTTCTTGATAATGACTATCATGTTTTTCTTTTTTTAGACAGAGCCTCACTATGTTGCCCTCAGTAGAGTGCTATGGCATCACAGCTCACAGCAACTTCAAACTCTTGGGCTTAAGTGATTCTCTTGCCTCAGCCTCCCAAGTAGCTGGGACTACAAGCATCTGCCACAACGGCCGGCTATTTTTTTATTATAGTTGTCTTTGTTGTTTGGCAGGCCGGGGCTGGGTTTGAACCCACCAGCTCGGTTGTATGTGGCTGGCGCCCTACCCGTTGAGCTACAGGCACTGAGCCAGCTGTCATATTTTTTGTAGCTATGTTTCTATCACAAATGAATTCAGGAATACATTTAACATTATAACACAAGCACATCATTGTAAGCATATTCCCTGTCTTTAGGGATATGGCCAAAACAACGATATATCATGAACTGATTTTGCCATTCTCACATTCAAATATTTGAAAACCCTAAATAACAGTTCCAATTGTGTTTGAAGATAAAAAACGCAGAGGCTGGTACTACGTACTACAACTTGGACTCTACCTAACAAGTGTGAACAGTATAACCTAATCGTCTATACCCTCAGTTCAATCTAAAAGAAAAAATGTCAGGCAGAAAAACAAACCTAGAGGCTCACTTAAGTAATGTATTTTCTTATTTTTGAGTACTAACAACCTCTTGAGCAATTGCTGCATTACTGATCTATCTCTGAGAGACTGAGTTTAAAAAGAAAAATCTAGGTCACAATTCTAATATTGTAACTTCTAGGTCCCAGTTATCTCCTGCATATACCAAGAGGTTTGACTAATCTACTAATCTTGAATTCCTTCCATTTGGGGGATTCTATGATTCTATAATTAATTGTATACTGTATTGGAAAACAGTAAAATACATATTCCTGTAAGCGTTTAGGGCAAGGTTTTATCCTGGGATTCTGTTCTCTTGCTTGGATCCATTGATTCTTATATTTTCTTTGAAACTATATGCTAGAAGGTTCAAAGCAGTTTAAGATTATGAATCATTTTAGTCTGACCATTCTCTGTTGCTCAGGTCACAAGCCCTCGAGCTCCATAGCTGCCATACACATCCAACTTTTCCTGCCTCTGCCCCACCCAGCCTGAAGCCAGGGGAACCCAGTCCCTTCAACAGTAAACATGTTTGAAGTCATGTTTTCTTTTTTATTGCTATACCTTATTTCCAGAATAATAGTGCCTATCAATATACATAGCTATAAGTAATATTTTGGTCATCAACTTAAAGACACAGGTGATTATGATGACCTCATGACGGCGTTCCGCTTTCCCTGAGGTTGAACGGTGTGGAAACTGTCACTGCCAGGCCCAGGAAGTCATGACTGCTGGAGTAGGCTGAAATGAGGACCATTTTCAATGAGGCTTTTTGGACCCTTATATAAGTTTAGACTAATGTTCCTCAATCTTTTTTCATTATCACTCCCTTAGGGGAGCCATTTCAAATAGCATTTTTCTAGTAACTCCCAATGAAATATTAATACCACAAATATATATAAATCTGCATTTTACCTAAGAAAAATTTTCTCCTACTGTCTAATTTCCAAATTTCACCTCCTTTAAGAAAATATAGTTTAACCATGGAACTGTTTTCTTATCTGGAAGATAAGGCAGGTGACTGAAATAGTGTGTGTGTAATGGCCTAGAAGTGTTAGGTTGGTTACTTATAGTGAAGGTGGTGAGAGTTTGAGAGAAGATATATATTTACATGTATACAAAGTGAAACTGGGCCATTATTCAGTTTTACTAAAATTTTGACTAAATTTGCTGATTCTGGAGATAAGTTTTAGCTTTCAGTCTAGAGATTCTCTGTTTTCAAAATCTTTCCGTAGACGTTTCTTAAGTCCCTGCTGGAGAATCTCCTTTTATTCCCACAGCATGCCCGTGTGGTGGACTGTCCAGCCTCACTGCACAGGTATCTGAAGTCAGCTGATAAAGATGTGTGGCTACTGTGAAGCAGAGAGTTGAACCTTCTGTCCCTTGCTATTAATAAGCTGTTTTTCTTCTAAAAATAATTATATACCATACCTTTGAAAGGGGCAATGCTGGGACCTTTAGTCATTGCAATTTCCCATCTGGGATCTAAATTAGTATTTTTAATTTAATTTAGAATTCTGTGCCTCCTTCTCTTATCTTGGCATCTTCT